CTGATCCGTAGGCAGGAGCCTGGTGCTTATCCTGGTCTCCCATACGGGGGCAGGGCCCAAGCACTTGGGTCATCCTCCACTGCACTCCCTGGCCACAGCAGAGAGCTGGACTGGAAGAGGGGCAACCGGGACAGAATCCGGCGCCCCGACCGGGACTAGAACCCGGTGTGCCGGCTCCACAAGGCAGAGGATTAGCCTACTGAGCCGCAGCACTGGCCTCACCTCTGTAATTTTTAAAAACTATTTTTGACCCTCATTTTATTCAATCTACAGATACACAACCTGCACAGACAAAGCACTGCCTGTACTTAATGTAATGATTTATTGTTTTATTTAATGTAACTACATTCAATTTGAATTACTTGACCCCCAGCAGAGTCATCAATAAGCACTATCACTGAGTAATGCTGTAATATAAAAAACTATTTAAACTATAGCAAATTCTTTAAGCCCAATACTATTAGCTTGTATATCAAAGCCCTGCATCTGGGTTTATTTCACAGGAAGTCTCAAAACAAATTCAAACTTATGTTTTTTGCCTTTACAACATCTAGAAAGATACTACATTAAATATGCATTAAATAGAAAATTGTTTTCCTTACTAAAAATGTTACAGATAAAAAATATAAGTAATGTGAATAAATATTTGAAGTATAAAGATTTAATTATTCATATGATTATACTTCTAACCATATCTTGTTTATTCTCATTTATAGAGAAATTAATACACATATATTTAACTTACCTCTGTTGTTTGTAGACTGGGATCTATTTCTCTAGTAACTACTCTCCCTAGAAGAAATAAGAAAGAGAAAAACATGTTACACTGGTCAACTGATCTGAATATGTTCAAAAGTATGCAGAGGGACTGGTGCTGTGGCATAGTGGGTAAAGTCACCACCTGCAGTGCTAGCATCTCATATGGGCACCAGTTTGAGTTTCGGCTGCTCCACTTCTGATCAAGCTCTCAGCTATGTTCTGGGAAAGCAGTAAAAGATGGCACAAGCCTTTAGGCCCCTTGCCCACATGGGAGACATGGAAGAAGCTCCTGGCTCCTGGCTTCGGATTGGCACAGTTCTGACTGTTGTGGGCCATTTGGAGATTGAACCAGTTGATGAAAGACTTTCTCTCTTTCTCTCCCTCTGACTCTGCATCTCTGTAACTCTGACTTTCAAATAAATAAATAAATCTTAACAAAAAAAAGTTTGCCAAAGGTGAAAACAAAAATTGAGCAATGATAAAAAAGAAAGCTCAAAGGAAAATACTGGAAGAAAATGTAGATTTTTCTGGAACTAAACTGTTCCAAACAGCCTCCAACAGAAGTCTCATTAAAAACTGTTTAGAAGAATAGTAAGATAAGGATATGTAGGAAAAATATCACCCAGTAAGAAATAAACTCAACTCTCATCAGTACAGTTCTCAATCCATACCTACCAAACTGCCGAGACAAAGACATCCAACAGTGCTGTTCAATGATATCTCTTAGTTATCACTATATGAGTTTTCATATTCTCTTTGACTTGTTTTCCCGGAATTGAACCAGACTGGTTGCAAGTAAAACAGTACCAGAACACGACCATTTTCGAAATAGGCCAAATTACTACTCACCCCCCAGATAGAGTCACCATGGTTAGGTGAACCATTAGGACTCAAATAAGTTTCTGACTGTAAAAAAGGTAACAGAGAATTTAAATACTTATTCCCAAGTAATTCCAACTTGGAAAAATACTGAGAAATATTTGTCAATATTTCCATAAAATGCTTTTGAAGAAAATATCACAAGGGAAATCAAATAAAATATTACTACCACTTAAAAATCATTCCAAAGTAACAGTAATTCTGTAAGAGTTGGGATATATTCTGAAAACACAGAAATTTATAAATCAGTCATTTGTACATCTTTTTCATAATCCAAGAAACACAATTCATTCCACAAAACAATATTTAATATATGTTAAATGAAATTAATTGTACCTAGTTCACAATAGTACAATTCTTTTTCACAGATGATGCTAATCACTCAGCTATTCTTCCTAGTCATTAAGTCCATCACATAAATGAAACTATTATATGTGGATAAACTCCAAAGCTTCCTACCAAGCAGCATAGTTATTAACTACTCATTTGTTAAAATAAGGCTATGTGAAAATAATCATTGATTTGTAAGAAACAGTTACTTCACGTAAACTGTATTTTACTTTTAAAAGTAGAGGCAGGGGCCAGCACCGTGGCTCACTTGGTTAATCCTCCGCCTGTGGCGCCGGCATCCCATATGGGCACCAGTTCTAGCCCCGGTGCTCCTCTTCCACTCCAGCTCTCCTCTGTGGCCCAGGAAGGCAGTGTAGGATGGCCCAAGTGCTTAGGCCCCTGCACCCACAAGGAAGACCAGGAAGAAGCAAGCACCTGGCTCCTGGTTTCGGATTGGCGCAGTGCTGGCCGTAGTGGCTATTTGGGGAGTTAACCAATGGAAGGAAGACTTTTCTCTCTGTCTCTCTCTCTCACTGTCTGCAACTCTACCTGTCAAATAAAAAAAAAGTAGATGCATGGTTCATATCTTTGATAACAAAAGACAGGGATCATTCATGATGTAAAATCTTTGTCTTTGACAGACTATGTTAATTCTTTCAAATTAATTAAAACCAGCCTACCTCTCCAGCTTCACTCTCTTGCCCTCTTAAATCCAGCCCACCAGTCTTCTTTTAATCCCGTATGCTTTCCTTCAGATTCCTCTCTGAAGTGCCTTAGCTCCTAATTATTCCTCTGCAAGGAATGTATAACTTATTCCCTGCCACTCCCCTCCCCCAACCTACCCCAGGGTAATTCTTCACCACATCCTTCAGCTATAAGTTTGAAAGTCACATTCTCATCAGAAAAGCCTTCTCTCACCTATCTTTTTCAAATCACCTAATATATGTCTACTCGATGGCATTTCTCACAGTTTCAATTTTAAATGATTTTGTGTGCTTTTTTATTTATATTTTTTACTGCCCCAAAGAGTGAAAGTTCCTGAAAGGTGGGCATAATATCTGATTTTGTTCTCTATAGCACAGTGATTGGCAAATGAATGTTGCCTGATAAATGTTCATAGAAAAAAAAAAAAAAAAGGAACAAGCAGGCCAGTAAGAGAAGTGTTTCTTCTATTGCCTTTGTTGCCAACGATGAGACAAAACATGTTGAGAACTACACATGTGCCAGGCACTGTAGTCAGTTTCTTACAGAATCTGTTATGTACATGTAATGAAAGTTACATTGGCAAATGACAATCTTTTCAGGAGTCAGTATTTCAATATGTACAGTGATGAAATTAAACTAGAACAGATGTCTCAAATTTGAATGTCCACAGCGGGCTAGAAGACTACTCAAGTGAACTGCATACATTTAGCGAACGTTAAGAACACAGTGAAGACATGACAGCTCTAGATGATAACCACCATGCAACAGGGCCCCAGACTCTACAGAGCTCAAGATTTTTCAAGATAACTTTCTGTTTGGTTTTTAATGTAATCCAATCTTTAAATATGTAATGTAATTTAATGTAATCCAATCTTTAAATACGAGAATGTTTTTGAAAATATTTATGAATCCCAAAATAAATTCATTTCTATCAGACTCAGATGTCAGGAAACTCCAATGAAATCTGAATACAAAGTCTCGTAAAGTGTGATAGTTGATTTTATAGCATCAACTTGAATGGATTAAGGAATACTCAGTTCAGAAAAAGGGAGACCCTTATTTTGAATGTGTCTATGAGGATGTATACAAATGGGATGAGCGTGTGAATCTGAGCGGACTAGGTGGGCAGATTTGGCTTTGGGGAAAGCAAGCACCAACAACTGGCTAGGGATCTGGAGGAACCAGGTGCAGAAGATGCACTGTTACCTTCTCTGAGAGCTATGACTTGCCTGACTCCTGCCTTGGACATCAGATTCTGATCCTTGTAGTCCAGGACCTTATGCCAGCAGTCCCCTTGCTGGCACTTGGGCTTGGGCCTCAAACTGAGAGAACTACACCCACTGCTTTGGGACTGGAACTGAGCCATGCTACTGACATTCCAGGGTCTCCAGCCTGCAGTTAAGCTGCCCTGGGACTTCTCTTTTGCCATAAATAAATCTCCCTTCATATATCTCTATTCATATCTTATCAATTCTGTGTTTTCTTGAGAACCTTGACTAATACATAAAGTTTCAACCAGCTCTGACTCTATGAGATTTATTCCTTAAAAGAGTTTGCTATTCTGCATTTCATGTGGGAATTTTGATAGCACAATTTCTCTAAAAGGCTCAAGCCAAAGGCAGCTTCTCTTGTGACTTCTTTTGAGTCCCCCGATATAATACCAATGATTTGTGTCAAGCGCATTTCAGTTCTTACAAAAGCTACTTGAAGGTGCACCCTGGCTGGCGCGGTGGCTCAATAGGCTAATCCTACACCTGCGGCGCCGGCACACCAGGTTCTAGTCCCAGTCGGGGCGCCGGATTCTATCCCGGCTGCCCCTCTTCCAGTCAAGCTTTTTGCTGTGGCCCGGGAGTGCAGTGGAGGATGGCCCAAGTCCTTGGGCCCTGCACCCACATGGGAGACCAGGAGGAGCACCTGGCTCCTGGCTTCAGATCAGCGGCAGTGCGCTGGCCGCAGCACACCGGCTGCGGCGGCCATTAGAGGGTGAACCAATGGTAAAGGAAGACCTTTCTCTCTGTCTCTCTCTCATTGTCCATTCTGCCTGTCAAAAAATAAAAATAAATAAATAAAAAAAGGTGTACCCTCTATTTTACATAGGACAAAACTGCTCATGCCCTCCTTAATGAAAAAAAAAACCAGTTCTTGGTTGAGGTAAGTTGAATTAGCCTAACTGGGTCCCCAAAAAAGACATTTTTTTCTTCTTGCTACAAGTTACCAAAATAATACATGCAGATTTTTTGATACTCCCTGTCACTGATTCCATGGCAAAGCTATATAAGCTCATTAAAGCTCTAAGTGATGGCTGTAAATTTCCCTAGAGAAGGGAGAGGAAGTCATAATGATGATACACAGAACTGCATGAAATAAGGCAACAAGCAGCAAGATGAATATTTTCCAGTTAGTATAACACCTTCCGGGTTGATTGTCTTTAATTAGCAAGCACTGCAACATTATATTTACTAGAGAAAAATACACTGACTGATAGCTCTTTTTATGTTTGTCTTTGATAGAATACCATTAACTAACATCGTCATTCCATTACTCTGGATGCCAAGAACACCACCACATCAACATAAAGCTAAGATGCAGGTACTGTTTTGTGAAACTTCCATATTAAGCGATGCTTTTTAAAAACTTTCTCTTTTTTCTCCCAGTATCACATTAAGTTGGGACTTCCTATGGTTTTGGTGTAGCTGTCACCTAGGATTCTACTGCAATTGGAGGTTTGATCCCTAGGATGGTGGTGTTGGAAGCTGAGGAAAGCTATGAGAGGTGAGGTCTAGTGGGAGGTCCTTAGGTCACTGAGGATGTGAGGCAATTTTTTGGTGGCCCCTTGGTAAAACCCTTCAGTTCTAATTGAGAAGGTTGTTAAAATTTAAGATAGAAAGGACCAAGATGACCCTCCCCTCTCTAAATTTCTGGTTCCCCCATGCAAGTTTCCATCACGGTCATGTACCACCAGAAGTAATATACACCAGAATTACACCAAAAGAGGCACCAAACAATGCCCTTGAACCTTCAAAACTGGGAGCTAAGTTCTTCTTTTTCTTTGCAAGTAGCTTATTTGACATTTCATTAATTTTCATTATGATAAAAAAGCTGATTTTCTAGTCATTGAAATGGGATAGAGATGGACATCTCCATTTTCATTCATAAATTTGAAGGCAATGCCTCATTGTCTTTTCTCTTCAAATGTGACTTTCAAAAGTCCAAAATGTATTTAACTATATCATCTCTAAGAGTTATAAACAAAGTTCAACTCAAACCATTAGATTTGGTGATCATAAAAATTTGTAAAATTATGATGTAAATAAAGAAAACAAAGGATTACAATAAATATATAGTATTGCTGTTAGAAAGGTGATAGAGTTATCTGTGGAGATGCATTATGTGCTTAGGGAATGAAGAATGAATATGATGTCACATGGGTAACTGAAGTCATTGTTGAAGACACTGCCATTTTAAAAATTTCAAACACATTTCTTCTTGGATTAGAAATAGGTGTGCCAGGGGCCAGCGCTGTGGCATAGCAGGTAAAGCTGCCACCTGCAGTGCCAGCATCCCATATGGGCACTGGTTCAAGGAGACCCAGAAGAAGCTCTGGTTCCTGGCTTCGGGTCGGCCCAGCTCTGGCTGTTGCATCCATTTGAGGGGTGAAGCAGTGGATGGAAGACCTCCCTCTCTCGCTGCCTCTGTCTCTGTAACTCTGCCTTTCAAATAAATAAATAAATAAATAAAAAAGAAATAGGTGTGCTCTTATCAAAATAATCTCTGGCGTATCCAATCCCATATTCTCTCAATTTTTTCTTTCACATTCTACGCATTGAATTGTATATACACATTATATATATTATAAATGAGAAATGTGGCAAAAATAATCAACTTTTCTTAAATCACAATGTATACTTTTAGCCAAATATCATCACAGTGAATGAAATTCAACTCTGGAAAATGGTATGGAAGAGGGAGTGGCATTGTGGCATCCCATGTAGGTGCCAGTTTGAGTCCTGACTGCTCCACTTCACATCCAACTCCCTGCTAATGTGCCTGAGAAAGCAGAAAAAGATAGCCCAAATCCTTGGGCCCCTGCACTCACATGGGAGACCTAGAAGAAGCTTCTGCCTACTGGCTTTGGTCTGGTCCAGCCCTGGCCATTATGGCCATTTGGGGAGGGAACCAGTGGATGGAAGATCTCTCTTTGTCTCTCCCCTCTCTGTACCTCTGCCTTTCAAGTAAATAAAATAAATCTTAACAAAAAGGGTATAGAAGAAATAATCGGTTCATGATTACAAAATATAATACGGTTAGGGAATAAATGTATGCTAAATTATCTATTGGCTTAACTTAATCCAAGTCAAATGGCAACAAGTTTTCAAGAAAGAGTGTGAGAAAACAATTCTAAAATGTTAAGGAAATACAAGCAGTTGAGAATAGCCTTTGTATTCATAATAAATAATAATATTAGAGGAACAGAGACCCCAAAAGAGATACATTATGTGATGGCAGTGGTGCCAACTGAAACAAGTCACTATATTCATCATCATGCATCCTCAGTAGAAAGAAGAGCTAAATGTCTAGTATATCTTAAAACCATCCTTGAGGAAACAGTAAAAATGCTTAATTTTCAGGGGCTAGAGCAGTAGGTTAATCCTCTGCCTGCAGCACCGGCATCCCATATGGCCACGGATTCTAGTCCTGGATGTTCCTCTTCTGATCCTGCTCTCTGCTATCGTCTGGGAAGCAGTGGAAGATGGTCCAAGTGCTTAGGCTCCTGCATGCACATGGGAGACTTAGAGGAAGCTCCTGATTCCTGGCTTTGAATCAGCCCAGCTCTAGACGTTGCAGCAATCATTTGAGAAGAGAACCAGTTAGTGGAAGACCTTTCTCTCTGTCTCTCCCTCTCACTGTCTATAACTCAAATAAATAAAAATCTTAAAAGAAAAAGCAGATGATTTATTTAAAAACTGCTTAATTTCCTAAACCTTCACCTTGAATATACATCTTCTTAACAATCTATAAAGAAATAGGAAGTATGCTCGAAGTACTCCTGTTGCATTCCAAACTACTGTTACCTGAAAAAAAAAAAAGTACTTTGTGGGGGTTGGCCTTATGGCATAGTGGGTTAAGTCATCAGCTGTGACACAAGCATCTAATATGATTGCTGGGGCACCTGGCAGTGAGTGAATGGAATATTTCTCTCTGTTTCTTCCTCTCTGTAACTCTGCCTTTCAAATAAACCTTTTTTTTTTTATAAAAGCCATGAAACTCTGAAGCTTGAAGGAAGACAGAGAAAATGAAGACAGAGAAAAGCCTTAAGGATTGTACCATGGGTACTCCAATATCTAGAAAGAGGTGAGGAGGAAGAAAAACAAAGCTGTGGGGAGCAATCCGGACGGGACTAAGTTACTGGAATTAGGACTTATTCTATGCATCTGGTCTCCCACAATATGGCGCTGGGAGAGAAGAAAACAGCTTCTGCACAGCTGCCTCCAGTTCAGCCAATAAACTGTAGGACTTGCTCCTGATTGGAGGAGAGCAGCGTACTCGGCGTGTGGGCAGCCGAGTTAGGATTGGCGGAGGAGGACTATAAAGGGGGAGGGAGACGGCATGCACCGGGAACATCTAAGGGGAACATCTAAGGGGAACGCCTGTGTAGCCCCCGAGAGAGCCGGCCGGCGGTGTGCTGCTCCCCTGCGGAAGTGGGGAATGTGGCCAGGGGGAACCGCCCTTCCACGGAGGTGGAAGGGACAGTAGCCAACCCGGGAAGAACCAGCAGCAAACCCGGGGAGGGCCGAGCAGACGAAAGAACAGCGCAGGATCCTGTGTCGTTCCTCCACGAAGACGGGGAGCGACATAATGGTGCCGTGACTCGGATAGGAAACCTAGGATGGATAGGAAACTTAGGAGGGAAGAAACGGGAAGAACTGGGAAAATACCGGAGAGAGAGACTAGCAAACAGCCTAGGGAAAAGCCGGACGAAAAAGGTGCCGGAAGAAGCTATTGAAAGCCTAGGCATAGACTCAGATACGGACTACAGGGGGAAGCTGGGAGAAATCTCTAAGGTCGAAAGCGAAAGTGAAAGCTAGAACAAACAGACTCGGATGCGGACTGTGGGGAGAGGCCAGGAGAAATGAGGGAGGAATATTGTTGGAAGAAAGCTTGGGGAAACATACCGGGTAGAGAAAAATGTTAGGGAAATTGAAGCCGCGGGGGGCAGGCCGAGGCGGAGACGAAAGCCACTTTGGGATTCTCAAGTTAGCCCGGGAATAGGGGGCGAAAAGTTGAAACCAGAAGCAGAAACGTAAGCCAGATTGGGATCTGTCTGATTAGCCCGGGGAGCAAAGGACGGGAAGCCAAATCGTGGGGCGGAGACGTGAGCTGGGTTGAATTCGCCAGGCTAGCCCGGGGAACTTGGATTGAATACTAGTGGCGGAGACGCAAGCTACGCTGTGTGACTCGCGGAGGCTGCCGCGCGCAGACAGAGCGTGCGGGGCTCAAGTAGATAGGGAACGCGGGGCTAGTGAGACACCGCAGAGTGTGCGCGCGAAGCCGAGCCGCGCAGAGCCGCGAAGCCGCGCAGATGAGAGAGGCGCGGGCTGAAGCGGCTCAGAGCCGGAAAGCCGCGGAGAAGCAGCCTCGGGGCGGGCACCGGAAAGCCGCAGGGATAAGAGAAACAGAAGTTTAGAAGTAAAATGAGAGAAATAGGAATGCTGGAAGATAGAAGTAAAATGGGAGAAATAGGAATGCCCGGAGATAGAGAAATAGAGAAATAGAAAGGCCTCCCCTCAACATGGCAATGAGAAAGCTTGGATTCGGTCTGCCCGATTAGTGAGGCGATGAGCACCTGCGGGCGGCTAGCAGCTTATGCGCCGCAGGTCACCGAAGACCGGCACGAATTAACATCAATAAGGCCTCCCCACAACACAGCAATGAGAGAGCTTGGATTCGGTCTGCCTGATTAAGTGAGGCGATGAGCACCTGCGGGCGGCTAGCAGCTTATGCGCCGCAGGTCACCGAAGACAGGCACGAATTAACATCAGTAAGGCCTCCCCACAATACAGCAATTAGGAGGCTTGGATTCGGTCTGCCTGATTAAGGCGGTAAGCACCAGCAGGCGGCTCGACCAGAGTGTGAGCCGCAGGTCACCGAACACAGGCACGCATCAGCGCCTAAAAACCTCCTCACAACATGGCGAAGAGAGGACTTGTAAGAACCTGTGGCAACTCTAGCAAGTAGAGCAGAGTGTGTGCCGCGGGACACCGAAGACAGGCGCGTATCAACGCCAAAAATAAAAAGAAAGGGGGATCTGTGGGGAGCAATCCGGACGGGACTAAGTTACTGGAATTAGGACTTATTCTATGCATCTGGTCTCCCACAATATGGCGCTGGGAGAGAAGAAAACAGCTTCTGCACAGCTGCCTCCAGTTCAGCCAATAAACTGTAGGACTTGCTCCTGATTGGAGGAGAGCAGCGTACTCGGCGTGTGGGCAGCCGAGTTAGGATTGGCGGAGGAGGACTATAAAGGGGGAGGGAGACGGCATGCACCGGGAACATCTAAGGGGAACATCTAAGGGGAACGCCTGTGTAGCCCCCGAGAGAGCCGGCCGGCGGTGTGCTGCTCCCCTGCGGAAGTGGGGAATGTGGCCAGGGGGAACCGCCCTTCCACGGAGGTGGAAGGGACAGTAGCCAACCCGGGAAGAACCAGCAGCAAACCCGGGGAGGGCCGAGCAGACGAAAGAACAGCGCAGGATCCTGTGTCGTTCCTCCACGAAGACGGGGAGCGACACAAAGCCAAGGAAGGAAGGAAGGGAAGGAAAGAAAAAGTGCTTTGTGTTGTAAAGTAAAATATCAGAGTTCATGTCACACAATTTTAACTCAAAGTATGAATAAACAAATTCAAAATTTATAAAAAGAGAAAAAGAAAATATGACCAGTAGACATATTTTATTATGCAATCTTCATTATTTGGGAGCTATTTTCTCAAAAATTAACAGCATGATTCTTCATAGAAAATAGCAAAGAGTGTTTATTGTCAGTGATAAAATTTGAATTTTAAATGAAAGCTCTAAATTTAAAAAACTTTATCTGTCACCATGAAATTTTCCCAAGACTTTCCAGATGACAGCAATGATGTCATGTGGCTTTTTGATATTTTATAATGAAATATGTCAACATTTGGCAGATCTATTTAACTTAGTGAACTAACATTTTCTAAGTAATTAGCATATGATGTTACAAAATCATACACTGGTGAAAAATGTCCTTAAAGTAAGAGACCAGTGGATTTTAATGTAGCAGAAAATGAAAAGTTTATTTAGATGGCTTCAAATTTCTCATTACATCTGTCTTTTAAGAACCTATTATTAGTTTGAGTTTTGGTGCAATTGTATCAAAGAAGAATATCTGTAATTATTTGAAAGCTTTTAAAATTATTCTTCCTTTTTCAATTATATATCTGTAAGTAGGCAATTTTCTTTAACTAGTTGGACCAAAACAACATATCACAACAGACAATATAAAGGAAGATATGAGAATCTACCCTTCCATTAGGCCAGGGATTATAGATTTTCAAAGAAGTGAACAATGTCAATATTATATTTGTTTCATTTTTGAGAATATAACTGTTATCTTAGAAATTATTTATGCTAACATGGAATTATTACTTTTAATAAATTTTAAATGTGCCTATTTTAATTTTCAATAAAAATAAATAAAAGCTTTTGAACTTCTTTGAGACCACAAAGTTCAAAAGTGCTGTCTTAGTGAAAACTCAACAGAAATAATGTGTATCAGAACACTATAGAAAAGCATAAAAATATTCATAATAGCATTGTTAGGAATATTTGTAATACCAAAATTCTCTCAAAAATGCAGCAGTAGAAGAATGGATAAATACATTGTGGTGTAATCATGTCACATGTTTCACGAAAAGACTGAATAAGTAATAATTATATGAAAAAACAAGGTTAAATCTCCAAGGAATACAATATTAAAATTAACTGTCCAAAACCAAAGTAAATTACAGCTAATTATTTACGGGTAGATGTTGTTAGGAGACAATTCTTGGGTTTCTCACAGTTGTGCACATCCTTGTACTGGAATATCGAGACTATAATTTTCAAGGATTTTGGAGAGTGCGCAGCCTTTGAAGACAGAGAAGGTAGACTGTTCTTGAGCAAAGGGCTCATGTGCTTACAGTCTAGAAACACGGGGGTAGTAGCTCCCTCTAAAGCAAATTACTGACCAAATTCACTAAAAGCTCAGAGTTTCTCTCTTTGTTGCAAGCTGTTGCCTGTGCAGGCATTACATTACTCATTGAATATTTTTTTTAAATTTTTATAGACTTTTTTTTTTGATAGGCAGAGTGGACAATGAGAGAGAGAGAGAGAGAGACAGAGAGAAAGGTCTTCCTTTTTGCTGTTGGTTCACCCTCCAATGGCCACTGGCTGGCGCACCTCGCTGATCTGAAGTCAGGAGCCAGGTGCTCCTCCTGGTCTCCCATGGGGTGCAGGGCCCAAGCACTTAGGCCATCCTCCACTGCACTCCCGGGCCACAGCAGAGAGCTGGCCTAGAAGAGAGGCAACTGGGACAGAATCCACCCCGACTGGGACTAGAACCTGGTGTGCCGGCGCCGCAGGCAGAGGATTAGCCTATTGAGCCGCGGCGCCAGCCACTCATTGAATATTGATCATCTATAGCCACATAGGTACAAGAATGCTGCTAATCTGGCTACAGTTAATGCTGTAGTAAACTGTGCTTTGTTTCTTATGCAGGTTTCTCATGTCTCTACCAGTACCGATGAGTAACTTTGTTAACTTTCAAGTACAGTAAATTTTCAGACCTTTCACAGGTCGGACATTCAGTCATCAATAAAACAATATATTTGATGGTGATGATAACGACTTACATTTGTTGATTCTTTAATATCAAGAAATTGACAAATCTATATAGGAGACACCCCAAAAATTATGATGTTATAAAGAGACAAACTGTTCAGAAAGCTTCAAGGTGCAAGTGATGGGAGCCGGCATTTTAGGATAATGGGTAAAGCCACCACCTAAAGTGCAGGCATCCCATATGGGCACTGGTTCAAATCCTGGATGCTCCACTTCTGATCCAGCTCCCTGCTAATGTGCCTGGGAAAGCAGAGGAAGATGGCCCAAGTGCTTGGGCCCCTGTTCCTATGTGGGAGACCTGGAGGAAGCTCCTGGAGGCTTCAGCCTGACCCACCCCTGGCCATTGCAGCCATTTGGGGAGTGAATCTGCAGATGGAAAATCTGTCTCTCCCTCTCTACCTCTGCCTCTCCTTCTCTGTAACTCTGACGTTCAAATAAATAAATCTTTTTTAAAAAAAAGTTCAAGAGATGAAGAAAGAGAAAGACAAAAAAAAAGGAATGTGTTTACGGATGAGAATCTCTCTGAAAAAGAATTTTTTTAAGATTTATTTATTTATATGAAAGTCAGAGTTACACAGAGAGAGAACAGAGGCAGAGAGAGAGAGAGAGACAGAGAGAGAAAGAGAGAGAGGTCTTCCATCCACTGCTTCATTCCCCAATTGGCAGCAATGGCCTCAACTGCGCCAATCCGAAACCAGGAGCCTGGAGCTTCTTCTGGGTCTCCCACATGGGTGCAAGGGCCCTTGGGCCATCCTCTACTGCTTTCCCAGGCCATAACAGAGAGCTGGATCAGAAGCAGAGCAGACGGGACTCAAACCTGCACCCACATGGGATGCCAGTACTGCAGACAGTGGTTTTTCCTGCTACGCCACAGTGCCAGCCCCAAGAAGAAAATTTACACTAAGACCTAAATGTTGAAAGAAGCAAATCATGTGAATACAAATAAAGGCTCAAATCACAACAATTTGAGATGTTCAAAGAAATGAAGATAATCTGGGGGTAGTGAGAAGATGCCAGAGAAGTTGTGAGTAGATACTTTGTAGACAGCCTTGAGTGCCTTGTAAATGAGTCTAAATTTTTTGCTGAGTGAAATAACAAACCGAAAAACAGGTTTTCAACTCTATTACATTTACCCTTCACCAAAAGTATTAGCTGCTGAATAGTGAATGGGTTAAGAGGAAATAAGAATGGAGGAAGAAGACAAACTAGGAAACTACTGAAGTGAACTACAAGAGAGATGACAGTGAACTAGACAGGAGCTGAGGCAGTGCAGTGACGGATACATACAAGCACTGAGAATATTTGGATAAAAGTTTCCAACAAATTCTCATCAAATTTCAGATGTAGAAGCTGAGGAACAAAAAAGACTGAATACTCACAGGCTTGATTCATTTAAGAAGATGGCATTTGATAAAATGGTGAGGGTCCTTAATGGTGGGTGATTAAGACAGCAGAGGCTTCCAGCTGCCCACAAATATCCTATCTCCTGTATTAACAAGACCCTTATAATACATGGTTCAGGATTATGCCCAAACAAAACAAAATGAAACATTCCCTAGCTTACTGTGGCCAAGAATATGAGGACAATTCAAAGCTTGATTATCATATAAATGGTATAATGTCCATCTCACAAAGGTTTGCATGAGTATCAAATAAGATAACGCGTTCCTTTGAGGCTGGTGCTATGGAATCTCATATGGGCGCCGGTTTGAGTCCCAGCCACTCCACTTCTGATCCAGCTCCCTACTAATGCACCTGGGAGGGCAGCAGAGGATGGCCCAAGTCCTTTGGCTCCTGTACCTACATCGGAAACCAGGAAGAAGCTCCTGGCTCCTCTCTTCAGCTAGGTCCAGGCCAGCTCTGGCTGTTGCAGCCATTTGGGGAGTGAAACAGTGATGCATGATGGATCTCTCTGTCTCTCTCTCTAACTATGCCTTTCAAACAAACAAAAAATAAAAAAGCATAAGACATCACATATAGCTTTCATGAAAGCATTTTCTCCATTAATACTTCCTGGATGTGCCACTCAAAACTCCACAGTGTCCTGGTTCTCTCTCATTGGATTGATGAATGAAAAGGAAACCAATTTAACACACTCTTATAAAGAACAGTAAAAGAATAGTATTCTAAAGAATGAATGCTTTGTCACTAAAGGTGTTAACACTTGAGCATTAACTTATGGATCTTTTATTGTTTGAGGACAAAAAAGATCACTCTTATGTGGAAGAACAATACACTAAACAAAATAGAGTTCAAGCACACAACCATCAAACAACTACTACTAGGTCAATAGAGTGTTTTACAATTTTATTTTTGCAAAGAGAAAGAAGAAAAAATGCAAGCATTGACTCTAACTTTGCTCCACTTAACATAAAACTAAGTGAAAAAATATTTTCAAATTGCTATCAGAATCTGATGCAATGTGATTACTTAAAAATGTGGAGGGGCCAGCACTATGGCTCACTTGGTTAATCCTCTGCCTGTGGTGCTGGCATCCCATATGAGCACTGGGTTCTAGTCCCAGCTGCTCCTCTTCCAGTCCAGCTCTCTGCTGTGGTCCGGGAGGGCAGTGTAGGATGGCCCAAGTGCTTGGGCTCCTGCACCCACATGGGAGACCAGGAAGAAGCACCTGGCTCCTGGCTTCGGACTGGCGCAGCACTGGCCGTAGCAGCCATTGGGGAGTGAACCAATGGAAGGAAGGCCTTTCTCTCTGTTTCTCTCTCTCACTGTCTATAACTCTACCTGTCAAATAAATAAATAAATAAAAGAATGTGGAAAGCAGACAACATATATCCTTCCAATTATTTTCATCACTGTTTCTCCTCTTACACTTTAACTTTACTGAATCCTTTCCCTACCACGAACAAGTGCTTTCTTCCCATACTAACCCTTGCTTATTTTTTATATATCAGTTTAGATATCCTCCTTTCAGACCTTGCCTGAAACCTCATCCTTCTGGTTTACCCTGGTACCAGCTCCCAAACCACTTTGACTATAGCCCTCTCTGGGCACCTGGCCCAGTTACACCTCTGTCTACCACAAACCTGGAGAGCCACCAATAGCAAACTTTGTAAATTGTATCCTTTTCTGAAAAGCAGAAAGATTCAGGAGAACAGATTTATTTCCTTACACACTACGCTCACTCTCACACATGCATATGGTTCATTAGCTCACTCTTACAGACACAGCCACACACGTAAGCAATTGGTGTCACATTCCATAGACTGAGGTACACTTTCACACTCATTCAGAGTATAAAAATGCAATAATTGTATATAATTACCAAACCTCTGTCAAAACCTCTGAAGAGGCAGGATTTGAAGCCAACAACTCTAAATCAACGTCTTATGATTCCTCCAGCTTCCTTTAACATGAATGGAAATAACTACATTCTTCCTGTAAGCTGGAAACCAGAGATATGAAGGGTTTCATACCAATCCACTGTGAGAATCATCAAATATTTGCTAAAACAAAAGCCAACCGAACAACTCAGAGAGCACATTACTAAGAATACACACTCAAGCAAACCCAGAACCCAAAAATAGCCCTTGTATTTACCAGATGGTCTTCTCAGCTTACAACTTCTACCAGCAGCATAAAATTAAATTTAAGTACAGTCACATGACATATATTGATATTTCAGTCGATGAGAGACCACATATATAATTGTGGTCCCCTAAGATCATAATGTAGTCTAGGTGTGTAGAAGGCTATACCACTTGTTTTTTTAAGGACACTCTTATGTTAGCACGACAAAAACACCTAGCAATGTGTTTCTCAGGTCTCTGTCATTACATGGCCTGTGATTTTATATGAAAATAAAGATCCACATTTCTAAAAAGCAGGT